TAAGGTTGCCATTCCTTTTCGAGAAATGTAGCCATAGGGTGGGCCAGTTGTAGGAGCTATTGAAAGAGTAAGTACAACTTTGGAGAGATTAAGCAGTATGTATTGACATTGTGATGGATTTTATCATGCTTTGTTATGATTAATATTATTATATGACAATAACATGAACCAAAGTAAAAGTATAGACTTATTTCATGCATTTGAATCCTTTTAGTGGAATTGTAGTTGGGCTAAATTGGGTTTTTTCCAAAGTTGGCATTATATACATGTTTTAGTTGGATTTCGACAATTTAATTGGTTTGGTTTGATCAAGCATTGTCTATTCAACCTGATTGGGCTGTAATGTGATTGATCTTATTCATATTGGTTAGCTAAATTGATAAAACTTCTCAGACTTGTCAAACTCCAAGAAGCTTGAACATATTTAAACCAAATCTTATATTGGTTGAATGGAACTCCAACAAATTAGCTCGAGCTAGCCTAATCAAATCGAAGTAAATTTGACTACTTGCCAAAGAATTTGATTATATAAAATGAATTGAATGTAAATTGACTTGAGCTGACGCAAGCATTTCTCGATGTTGCTTGATGTGACTCTAGTGACTCTAGTGACTCTAGTGACTCTAGGTGATTCAAGTCCCCTTCATTATGTAATTGATCTTGTGCAAAACTATATATATGATTAGGCTAGAGAGTTGATATGGTTGGTGAAACCTCTTTGCACGTTTAATTCAAATGATTGAATAATTCTGCAACCAAAGTGTTATTGAATTGATTGAAATATACTGAGGGAATTTTCACCTTGTTTAACTTAAATTCTAGCAAACATGATGAAATCTAACAAAGCTTAGGTTTGGTTTGATTCTATATAGTTGAATGTTGAATGATATTAGCCGATCTTGGTTGCTTTTGAGCTAGTACTGGTGCAATGAAACAACCACGATAGATCTTGATTAAGCTCAAGCAAATTCATTATGAAACACAATTGGTTCAATGAGGATTTGAGCAGATGTGGTCGACATTCACTTAAGAAATTTTGGAGGTCAACAATAAGTTGTTCAGTTGCAATTTAAATCAAGCCCACTGAAATCTTTCAAACTCAACTAGATGATAGTGCTTAAAAATATATTCTCAATTGTGTTTCATAATGAATTTGCTTGAGCTTAATCAAGATTTATCATGGCTCCCATCAAATGTGGATAATTATCATCTTCCTTATAGTTTCAATATTTGTTTAGAGTTATGACCTGTTCAATTTATTTAAATAGCAACTTTTCAATAAAGTTGATTTTCAAGTGTTTTTTTTTGCATTTGTGACCTTAATGATCTTAATATCGTTAATAATAATAATAAAATATTTTAATTTTACAGTCATATTAGTAAAAAAAAGAAGTTGATGAGGCTTTAAAGAAAATCTTGGGTGAAAAATTAGTAGGACGTGATGATATCCCAATTGAAGTGTGAAAATATTTAGGAAGTTTGAGAGTTTCTTGGTTTACTAAACTCTTTGATATTATTTTAAAAACTTAAATATGTTTGAGGAGTAAAGGAAGAGTATTTTGATCCTCATTTTTAAATATAAAGGGGATGTGCAAGAGTTTGCAAGTTATAGAGGAATTAAGTTGGTGTGTCATACTTTTAAATTATTCGAGTGTGTAATTAAACATAGGTTAAGAAGTGATATAAAGATTTCTCATAATCAATTTGGATTTATGTCAGGCAAGTCTACTATGGAAGTTATACATTTATTAAGAGGTTTGATGGAGAAGTACAAAGAGAATAAGGAGGATCTACGTATGATTTTTATTGATTTAGAAAAAGCTTACTATAAGGTTCCAAGAAAAGTTCTTTGGAGAGTTTTAAAGAAGAAAGATTTTGATGACTTATATTCAGGTCATTAAAGATATGTATACTAGAGCTATTACTTGTGTTCGAACACGAACAGAAGGAGGATTAGTTCGAACAGAAGGAGGATTAACCAAATATTTTTCTATTTTAGTTGGATTTCATCAGGGATCAGCTTGAAGCCCATATCTTTTTACTTTAGTTATAGATGCTCTTACTGGACATTTATAGAAGGATGTACCTTGGCGTATGCTTTTCGTTGATGATATCCTTCTTGTGTATAAGACTAGGAAAAGAATTCAAGGAAAACTTGAATTATGGAGGTCTACATTGGAGTCTAAAGGCCTTCGTTTGAGTAGATCAAAAACTGAATACATGAAATGTAATTTTAGTAGTAGTAGCTCTAGTGTTTGTAGCTCTAGTGACAGAGTTGTAACTATGGGTGATTAAATCATTAAAAGGTGTGATTTTTTTAGATATCTCGAGTCTATAGTTCAAAGTGATAGTGATTTAGATGGGGAGGTTATTAGTAGAATTCAAGTTGGTTGGTTGAAGTGGAGGAATGCATCAGCTCTATTGTGTGATGAAGTGCTGCTTAGATTGAAAGGAAAATTTTATAAAATGGTGGTGAGGCCTACAATGCTTTATGATGCGGAATGTTGGACTTTGAAAGAGAAGCATGAAACAAAGTAAGACATTATTGAGATGAGAGTGCTTAGTGTATGAGTTGCTTTACACATAGAGACAAAATGTGAAATGAATATATTTGTGATAGGGTTGGTGCAGTTCCAGTGGCGGTCAAGGGGGGACGATGGGGAGAGAGTTGTCTTAGATGTTTTGGTCACATTAAACGCCGACCGTCTTATGATCCTGTTAGGAGAGTAGATGTTTTAGATTTGACATATGTTAAAAAAAGCAGAGGTAAACCTAAAAAGACTTGGACATGTTGTATAAAAAATGATCTTAATCCATTACAATTAAATAAAAATTTGACACTCAATAGGAACAATGGAGAAAAAAATTCATGTAGCCGACCCCACTTAGTGGGATAAAGGCTTGTTGTTGTTGTATATATTATTTGATCGATCAGATTAATATCTCACTTTGCATAACGATGCAATTATAAGCTCTGGTACAAATACGAAGTATAATATCCAAGAGTTTTGAGATGTTGCTAATGAGCCTAAAGATGCGATGCATAATTAAACAAGCACAAAACTATATTTTGCTAGTTATCAACTCTTAACTTAGTAAAGATCGGTCACCTATAATAAATTTTTTTTTGTAGACTTGCTCATTATATTTCAAGCAATATTTTAATATTTGTCAAGAGTTGGAACAGAAGTTTGAAATTCAAGCTAGTTAGCGGATCGAGATATTTAAGCTCATGCGGATTTCATTATAGGTTCTTCAAGAGTTTAAAATTATTTTTAATTGTTCTTTTGTTAATTTGTTAGTGGTGTAGCTATATAGATAACAAGCACATGCTCATGAGTGAATTGAGCCAAGATAAAATTTGAAATAAAAACAATTGAAGATGCTTATAAGTGACCATACTATATAAACTATTATCATACTATACAATTAGAATTGGTTTAAAAATTTGATTAAGAGAATCAATTATTAATATAAATTGATCATTTGATCATGTTGTACGATATATATCATACTACTTTTGGTATAATTATAATGGGATCAAATTGCATTAATTGATAATCCAAAATTTGAATTAATTGCAGTGTATGATCAGCATCATTATCTCCTTTTAACTTGTAGTTTAATTTCCTTTAATTACCCTGATTCAAAGATTGAATTATTCATAATGTTTGATATATATTGTACAATACAATTAATTTTCGTAATTAAACAAATTAAGCAACTAAATTAATAGGATTATTTGATACGATTCAACATAAACCGATCATTACTGTATGATTTTGTTTGTACCATACAATCAACAAGAATTTTGTTTTTGACAAAAGTTATGCTTGATTGTTTAAGCATTTAACATATATGCTATCTTTTAAAATCTTAAGTGATTTTGTTGCTGGAAACTTGACTTGTAACCCTGAAAGGTATTTGAGTGAGAAAATGAGAAAAACACATAATGATTATCGCCTTCCTTTCTACACCTTAACCTCATGGTTAAGAATGTTGTTAAGTTTTGTATGATTTGAGAGAAGTGATTTGACATTTGTAAGAGAGAGAGAGTGGATCTTTTGAAGTCTTGGTGAATATTTAATGTAACATGCTGGTATGCTAGGAAAGATTTCTTCTTTTGTGAAGAAGATAAGGGTATAGGATTTCCTTAAAGCCCTTTAAAGAGAGCGGTTTCTCCATTTTTGTGATAGCTAAAAGAGAGGATAGTGAAAATCCGGAGAGAATATGGGGAGTGGATGTTGGTTGTTGCACCTAACCATGATACATTGGTTTGCATTTTTCTTTTCTTTTTGCATTTTATTAATATTGCACTTTGTTTAATATCTTGAATGATTTGTGATGATATGGAATATATGGTGATCATATTGTTATAGTGTCGACTTGGTGGTCAGCTAAATAACTTGGTTATTGAGGAACTTATTGTATGAAAGCATGCTACTACTGAGCAAAGGAAAATCATTGCCATTTTTCTTTTTCTTACTTGGTGCACTTCACCTCTAAAATCAAATTTTGTTTGAAAAACAAAATTATAATTTTTATATTTCAAAAATATTCATGAAAGTACATCTTATGGATGTGCCATGGTATCTTCAAGGCGTCCAAGGAAGCAAGTGGCAGGAACCTCTTCCTGTGTAAAAAAAAAAACAATCTATGTTTTCTTTTAACTTTACTAGCGAGTCATATCATTGTGAAGGTTAAGTTAAGTGGCTTTGGAGTACAATCACTAGATTACTTGCATCATATTTTTTTTAGCTGTGTCCTTTCTTTCTTTCTAGGAAAGACTGGAAATCTGCACTACCCATTTTTAATGGATTTGAATTAATCGTCAAGATACTGTGAACTATTCTCTCAGCCACCAAGGATAATCTGAGTTGCTGGAAGAGCTAAATAAACAAATTTAATGATAAAATGAGCTGTACAAACAATTGGGTTGTTTTGGCATGCCTTGCTGAATGTAGTTTTGATATCAAACTGTACTTTTATCTACTTTGCAGGCAATTACTGCAACAGGCACGAAGAAGAATGAACTGATCCTTGGTGAGATACAGTCACAGTTGAAGAACAAAAACTTTACTGTTGATGTTAAAGCAAACTCAAACTCAACTGTATGTCATTTTTATACATGTATTCCATTCTCGTCTTGTCAAGTTATGATTTTTTATATCTAGGAAGCCATCATCATTAAACTTTCCTTGTGTTGGCTGTCTTGGGTTTGTGTTCATTACTTTCTTTTTTCAGCACTATTTTCTTAAGAAATTAGAGATTATCGTAATTCCTTGAAGTTGCTTGTTCTGGAGGTTGTTACAAACTCAAGCTTATTTGAACTTTGTGCTGCAGCTTTTGACAACTTTCACAGTGGATGAGCTATCTACACCTGGTTTGAAATCAATACTGAGCTTTGTTGTTCCAGATCCCAAGTCAGGAAAGGTCGGCATCCTCCCCACCAGCACTTTCTTCTTTAAAACCACTGTAGTTGCTTATTGTTGATTGTCTAAATTGTCTTCTTTTTTCTCAGATCGAGCTGCAATACCTGCATGACAATGCAGGGGTTGCTGCAGGATTTGGGTTGAGTGCAAATCCAAACGTTAACTTTTCAGCCGTGATCGGATCTAAGACTCTCGCTCTTGGATCAGACGTATCTTTTGATACAGCATCAGGGAATTTCACTAAGTACAATGCTGGGATCAGCTACAACAGTTTGGATTTCAGTGCTTCCTTGACAGTGTGAGTGATTTACCGTAGCAACCAGTCTCAATATTTGAAGATTCTGCTGTAAAATTATGAAAAATATCACTGTGATTAAATTAACTTTTTAACTCTCCATAGGAATGAGAAGGGAGACCAGTTAAGTGCATCTTATTACCACCTGGTGAACCCTTTGTTAAGCACAGCTGTGGGTGCCGAGTTCGCTCACCGTTTCTCGACTGCCGAGAGTACCCTCACATTTGGGACACAGCATGCTTTGGATCCTATAACCTTGGTTAAGGCGCGGATTAACAACTACGGAAAGGCGAGCGCATTGATCCAGCATGAGTGGAGGCCTAAATCATTCGTCACTATTTCGACGGAGGTAGACACCAAAGCAATCGAGAAAGGTTCTAAGGTTGGCCTCTCCTTGGCCCTGAAGCCCTGACAGCAACTCTTTTTGAAAATTTAATCATGTGCTTTCATCTTCTTGCCTTGATTGGTGTCATGCCATTAAAATGCCAAGGACTGGAGATTACATCATGTTAACTTGACAAACAATCTGTCCACTGTTTCTTTTGCTTTTGACTAGCTTTGAAATTTCAAAGTTTTTTGCAGTCTGCTTTGGCCTCTTTTGGTAGAGATGAGAAAACGAGGGCAGGTTTTGTGCTGGAGCAATAATTACATGACTCAGATTTTTTGAGCTGGTTTATTTTGCAAGGGACCATTTGTTTGATTCTAAGAAATTTTGTTCTAGATTTTGGAGTTTATGGAGTTTTAGAACTCTTGTTGATTTAATATATATATATATATATATATATGATTAAAGAAACAATAAGTTTACCCAAGATTCAACCTGGAGATTTATGGATAATGTTAGCTTCTTTGTAAAATTAGTTGTGGATTTGTTATAGGAAATGCATAGTTTATAGAAATTGTGGGTATTAAGAAGTTATTACTCTGAACAGAGTTTATCATTAATTATTTATAGCCGCTGCATTATATCCGTTTTAAATGGGCAAGTTGAAGTGAATAATTTAAATTATAGATATTGAATTTGATTTATTTTATCATGAATATATTTGTGTTTTAGTTTGTAAAGATCTTGAATGCATGATGATTTAATAATTGTTCAATTCAAAAAATATTAAAAAAAAAGTGTTTGCAATGTTACTAGTAGTCTCTCACAATAATTCATATCTAAAATCATTGATAAAGAGATATTATTCATGCATGCCTTAGATTAAAATCTTTATGGTGAAGCTCCAACCTTGACAAAATTATTGAGATCATCAGAGAGATGGTGAGTAAAAGAAAAGAGATGGGGACAAGGCGGAACCCTCATGGAAAAGACGTATAGGAGGATTTTATTCCACACAACCCATAAGCTAAAGTATTGTTGATGTGTTATGTGAAAATGTCATTACATATTTATAATGATTTGGGCGCTATTGAAAAATCCACTTAGCAAAAATGAATAAACACATTATTTTGACTAGTATAGACACATGGGCAAGGCAATCAAAGGTTTCAAAGATTATAGGTGGATAATTGTCTTGCCAATCACTTTGAAGGTTTCTTCAGCTGACTAGATGGAGTGGCCAACTGAATAGGGGAGGTTGCTTAGCTTAATGGAAGGAGTTGCTAGGTTCCTTTTGTACTTTTGATGAGTGTGCTTTGACTAGGGCGAGTTCATGTGAATTGGTTAAGTACTTTCCTTCAAATTGAGTGATTTCCTTGTAATTAGGAGAGCTATTTTGTAAGCAAAATTACTCCTGTGAGAGAGGTGAGCTCTTTTCTATCACCATGTTGAAATCTAATTTTAAGTGTGTATTTATTTTTGAAGTGCCGCTTGCAATAAATAAAAAAAATAGGTGAGATATTTGTAATGTTTTGTTATCAATAATAAATGAAAGGATAATTGTTAATATATTATTTTACTCTGTGTTGGGTGCATTACACTTATTTATTACATTAATAATGTCACTAATATTACTTCTCTATGCACTTCTCTTTACATTAGTGTTGTGATTATCAATAAATATGGTAGGAATTTCAACCTTATAGTCACTTCTTTCTTCACATTTTCTTTGCTTTTTAGCCTATTATTTTGTTTGTTAGTAATGGACGACCCATCTACTGTAAGGGTTGTAAACATTTTCAACTGCGAGTTTTGCTAAAGCATTAAGCACAAACATCTACAAGCATTAAATGTTGAGAATCAGTTAACTCACCTCAATAAAAAGAGAACAAAGAAATTAGTTAAAGACAATATAAGTAGAGCAGTGGACCATCATGAAGGGGACCTTGATCAACTACCACTTGCTACAATATTTCTCGTTCACCCTCCATTTCGTGGCCTCATGAAGAGAGGAATTAGTAACTTGACGGCCTCTCTATATGCAACCTATTTCATAAGGAAAGAAAAAAATATAAGAGAATTTTGATAATGAAGGTAAGGAAAACATCTCTTTCTTTTTGTAGCTTTTACCTTTGGATAAAATTAATTTCTATTACAAACCTTTTTGGTTGGAAGAAGTATCGATGAATCATATTATAAGGCAAGGTTACCAAGTCTCTTTTACTAAAAAAGATTATCTTAGCGAGTCCTATGACGAGCACACAAACTGGGCGTACAGTGCACATAATTTTGTTGATATTTTAGGTTATTGACCTAATGCAACACTGACAAGTTTGCTCTTTAACACTTGCCTTTGGGTTAATGATTTGTGGTCGCACCTCATCGAGGTGACTCTTAATAATTTTTTGAGTAATGATTCTTCTTTTTTTGATATTTGACTAACACAACATAGACAACTTCAGTCACCAAGGATAATGAAAGAAATCAGGTACCGGGAAAGTTGTCTTGTTTTCCTCCATTATCGGAGCAGATGCAAGTGCCAAGGGTAAGTTAATTTTAGTTCCTCTATCTTAAAAATATGTTTAAGAAACCTATGATACTTCTCATCCAACAATACTTAAAATTTATGGATTTATGCCACCCTTTAATTGGAAATATTGATTGTTGAATACATTGAGTTTAAGGCACAATCCACTTTGATGAGTGTATGCGAGTTCTTAAGGAACAGATTGTTAACACTAAGGCAAGCAATCAAGGGATTGATAAGCTTTTCCTCCTTGTAGAGAAGATAAGCTTAAGGGTAAGCTTTGTCCACTCCTATCATTAAAAAATTCAAAATTAAAGTATTAAATCTATAGCCACTTGTGATTTTTTTAGCTTCAAAATCTAGTTAATTTTGTTGGAGTCAACTTTTTTCTGTGATTGTTAGTTAGAACTAGTATCATAACTGCTAATGCGTTGTTAGATCCCATTTTTAAGATTTTTTTTTATATTGATAGTGAGTATGTCATAGTTATGTTTATGTTAATATAATAAAAAAATATAGTTCTATTAATACACTTTTATAATGAATGTTATATTTTATGTTGGCCATAATGAAACTTTATGCCACTTGTATATTAGTTTGCTCAACTTTTCCGTTTATTATTTCTACTTTTATTTGTATTTTTTTTCATCATTCTTTGAATGTGATATAGTACATTAATTATAATGACGAGAAAAGATTTGTTTGAGATGATCTTTTATGATGAATATGATGTTTTCCTCAAAATTATTGTAGATGAACTTTGCACTTATCTTAGATAAATAGTCCATTACATCAAGTAAAATTGAGTGCTAGTTGGAATATTAACCTTCTCTTAGAAGGTGGATGAATTGACTAGATTAGGATAGAAAGCACATGAACTTATATCTAACCTGAGTGCTAGTTGGAAGATCAAATTTGGATAGAGCTTAAGGAATCACATCTAATCTGAGAACCGATCGAGAAAGGGATATATACACGTTTTAGAACAAAAAAATATCCAACCTAAATATTTAATTTTAACTTAAATACACTAGCATAAAAAGTATATGGACTCACATATAAGCTAGGAGGTAAATATAGTGATCAGATCATGATGGAAAATATTGAAACTCACATCTATCCTATGAGCTATTTTGGAAATAATATCTTGGAAGGACTCACATACTTTTGAAATGAGCAATTCTCTTTGACCTGAATATATTAGGATGGAAAATACAGACTCATTATCATTCGAAGAGGTAAACAAGATGGCCAGATCAAGATAAAAAGTATAAGGAGTTACATCTATCCTTAAAGTTGATCAGGGAAATGATGTTGTTGAAGGACTCACACTAAGAAGTTTGGCCATACAAGGACTGTATATGACATGTGTATGTAATATGCTCATTTGTCAGCTTAATTTTACCTTTTCGTATGTTTATAATGTTCTTTTTAGAAGGTTTTAGTGTTGTGATTGTAGGATTCAGAGAAAGAGATCGAATGAAATTTGGAATATTACAAAATGGAGCTAAGTAGTGCTCTAGCCCCTAGACGTCAGATGCAGGCTCAGATCTTGTAGAAAATAGAGCAGTGTCCTAAGCGCCCGAAAGAAGCCAATTTTGAGGAAAAATCTGAGCGGTTGGAAAGTAGGCACCACGATAGTGTCGACTAGGTATCAGGCTACCAGCTCCTATCAGTGGTGCCTAGGTGCCAATCCATTCCCAAATTTTGTTAGAATATAGAGCGCTCAAAAAGTAGGTGTCACGACTGCAATGAATAGGAGCCACATCTGTAGTGCCTAGACGTCGCTACTTGGGTGTCTAGGTGTTTGATGCTCTAACATTAGATATAGTGACTAGTGCCTAAGCACCAGTCTATGACACCTAGGTGTTAGTTTGCACAATATGATTGTTTCTGTAGTTGGGGCGCATCTCTTCATCAGGACGAGTATAAAAACACCAGACACAAATGAAGAAGGGATTTTTTTTATCATTTTTGAGCATGGAGCATTATAGGAAAAGGCCATGGAAGACCCTCAACTTGCAGCCAAGTGAGAGAAGGGAGTTTGGGAGTGTTTGAGAGACTTTGTGGCTGTATCATCATCAAACAAAGCGAGGAGGAAGGGAGACAAGTACTTTGGGAGTTCTTTGTGCAATTTGTTTCATTCCAATTGTTAAAGACTTGTTCCTTCAATTACAATGTTTATGCATATAAATACGAGTAGTAAGTAGTTTTCTCTATTTCTCTTGAAATGATGATGTAAGATTGTTGAGTGCGAAATTTATTTTGTGATAATGTGCATAAACCTTTATGGTGATGTTTAACCTTTTGAAATTATTTTAATTTCATTTTCACCTCGTGAAATGTTAATAATTATCGTTAATTATAAAATTTGAAAGAGATCATAATAGAATGATTAGGTTAATCATATTAACTTAGAGGAATATGAATATTGCCACTAGGTTAGTGCACACTTTTTGGGAGAAATAATTCTTGGGGATAATAATTTGATTCAGGGAATTAATTCTAATTTTCTTAGCTTAACCTCCATAAACAATCAGGATGGAGTAAGGAAGTGGGTTGCTCTTGTTTGTCACTTGATTGTTAAATCATTCTTTTGCACTTAATGTCCAATAGAACCATTTCATTGGAGAACCTCTTAAGCATTTGAAAAACCCATGACTTTCACTTATTGCTAGTATAGGATCTTTTGAACTTGATAACTTAGGAATATTAATTTTAGCCGTTACCAAATCTTCAACCTTCAAGCTAGTACCAATGATAATAAACTAGAACTTTTTATGTTGGGATTCATCTCATTCCCTCTCTGGGATCTATACCCAAAATATTGTTTCTCATGCTATTAAAATGACATGTATATTTATGTGAGTCGCTAGTGTTTCATTGTACTTGGTTCCTATCAAATTTTTGGCACCATTGCCGGAGAGCAACGATGAATTCCAAGTCAAAAAAAATTGTTTAAGCTTTTAGAGTCTAGAATTGAAAACCGTTGTGTTACATCATCACTTGCTATTTAGTTTGTTATTTCTTATAGAGTTAAAATCCAAAAATATATTGTTAGTTTAATGTTAAAGCTGTGCACTTATATACCACTTTTTACTTATTGCAAAGTTCATGTTGCATGTTTATTTAGTGCTTTATTTGTTATTGTGTGATTTCATTTGAACTGTGTGGAAATTCTTTAGCTTAGGGTCATTTAGCTTGTTTAATCTAGTTGATGTATATGTAGTTCTAAAACTTTGGACCATGAACCTTATGACCATGAGTTGGAAAAAAAACGTAAAAAAACTAGAAAACTAAAAAAAACTTCAAAAAGAATTAGGTGAGATGACACACATACCTCAAGAGGAATCTAATGCCCACAGATACAGTGACATACCTAGACCTCTTAGGAAATTTGCAAATCCCATGGTTGATAAAATCCACTTAAGCATTAATTCTCTTATTTTAGAAGCCAACTCATTTGAATTTAAATCCATCATCATCCATATGATACAAAATAACTAGTTTGGGGGACACCATTAGACAACCCTAATTTACACTTAGTGAGCTTTTTAGAACTTTGTGCCATATTTCATTATAACAGTGTCTCCAATGACGTGGTTAGGTTAAGTTTTTTTCCCTTTTCCCTGAGTAACACAATTCTCCAAGGACGTCCGACCATAAATCCCTCCTCTTACTAGCACAATTATTAATATATAAAACAAGAATGCAATAGTACCATTGATATATTGAAATTGTATGTTTAAACTAGTAAAAGTAATGCTAGAAGAGTTCCATTTAACCCATATTTGACTGCTATCAATAATTTGAAAATTATTAACACTTGTCTCATTCTGGAAAACGTTGAACTGATTTTTAGAGAAAGGGCTAGTGTAAGATTAAAGAGAGAGCTTAGTTATAAGAAGGTAAGTAAGATTCAACTTTTTTCATTAATAAGATGACTATAATTGGTGATGCATATATCATTGTTAAAATCACTTACATTCCATGTCACCAAATTTAAAAAAAAAAAAAGGGAAAAAGGTTAAGACTAAGGAATGGTCCCTTTAGACCTCCCCTATTCTCCTTTAAAAGATGATGGTAAAGAAATGGGTAGATTTTTAGCTGATTTATATGGTGGAAAATTATCACTTAAATGATGGGGAAAGGGAAGGGGAGGCTTAAATCATTGGGGCATTGTAGAGATAAAACTCTAATCGGGCATTCCATGCCTTTTTAACAAGTTAAAACAATTTCAACACAAATTAAAGGATTAAACGTTGGAATGATAAGATTAGGAGCAAGAAGAGTGAGGGAGAAGGGGGAGAGGAGGAGGGTCTGAGAAGTAGGGAGAGGATTAACAAATTTACTTTTTCTTCTATTAGACCTTGAAATGGGCTTATTTCTATTAGAGCTTCTTCTGCATAAAGGAGTCGCTTGAGAAGGGGCCTTATAATTCGTAGAACTAGGAATCATGTGCAAAAGTAGAATACTTCTTACCTGCAGAAGGCTTTCATTTAAAGCTCACATATTGAATAATATATTTTCTTTAATATTAATAATAATGGAGTATGGAACAACATATTGAGTACTAATTTGAATACTAACCCTCGTAGAGGTAAGACATAATCTTTTACCAGTAAGATGATCAACAACTAAGAAAATACCTATCTTACTATTAATTTTAGGAAACTTAACCCTTATAAGAACTTCATGTAAATCCTTCTTAACATGTTTAAAATCATGAGTCCATGCTTAAAAATGAAAGGTCCACCATTAATAAATCAAGACCCTCCCAAAATCACTATATCTTTATTCTCAGCACAATCACATTTAAAGATAAAGATACTTCACAAAGAGAGATTATCTCGACAATACATTTCAATCTCAAGATTATATTTATGACCTATAAATGATTACCATATAATGAACGTTTATCCAAAACGTATCTGACCGACACACTCACACCAGTGCTTGAAGCATTTATCCACGTCCTCATGAGAAGGGCCATGCTCAGAATAGAGGTAAGAGTAGAAGAGTGAAAGGGGTAAGGACAAAGTATTCATGACCTGATTAGGGCTCCTAAGCAGAGAGATCAGGAGAGAAATACTTATAGAGTTCTGAAAAAAAAAAAAACGCAAGTAAAAAAAAAAAAATCATAGTGGAGCTTCAGGAGATGCTCTCATTCAAAAATACATTCAGAGAGATGAAGAAATACTACGTGAGGACATAGTAGTTGTAGATATGTGCGAATGTGAGGGTATTGTGGTGATATTCACCACAATATGATTATAATAATACTGTCATAAGACCACCAATATGTAAGCAATATTTTTTCAAGAGAGAAGCTGTCCATGACCCAAATCAGATTAAAATTAATGTAAAGTAGAAAATGTAATTGACTCTTTGGACTAATGTTTGGGTCTATTTCATTCCGCCACATTGCACAATGCTAATAGTAAAAAATCAATAAATTGTGAAGTATGAATAAATGAATTTTTAATAAAGAAACGATCCCGATAATCAACGGTAATGGGCACAGGGTGCGGCTTTGCTGCCCGGAACGAACGGTCAAGAGAGGCCAACAGCGGATATCTACGCCGCCGGAGACGGCGGAGCAAAGCACAGTAGTACACCTTTAATTTTGGCGCTTTTAAATTTCAAAATTCTCTGCTCTTTCCTCTTCCTTCCATATTTCTTCTCTCTTTCTCTCTCCTCTTTCCATCTTTGCCTTTCTCATCATTAATAAGAGTTCACTGAAACTCTGGAAACGTTCGTTTCTTGTGATCGCTAGGGTTTGAAATATCGGATTTAAGGAGAAGTAAATATGACGTCTCTCGTACAATTCCCCATCGAGCCGCCAATGGAAACCACTTCATGTGGTTCTTTACTCCAGGAGTTGCAGGTTCTTTCATTCTCTTTTAATCTCATGTCTTGCTCCTTGGTATACAAAAAACACGAGGGGCAGAGATCCCACTCTCCCAGTGTATTTTGTTGTTTACGATGCTTCTTTTTTTCTTGGATAGACGGTCAAAATTTCGGAGATTTTGATAAATTTTGCATTCGTGGTATTTCAAAGTTGAATTTGTGTTCTTGAACAAAGACCACTGTAATTTTTTAGTATTTTTAATTTTAATTTTTATGTTCGCTACCCTTTTCTGGCGAAGAATAGTGCGATGAATGTAACGAATCCTAGGGTTTGAACTATTATATTTAGTTTGAGACTTTCTTTCTCTGCGCTTTACACATTATAATGTCTGAAACTAGATTCTAGTATTTTTATCCTTTTATGATGCTTGTTATTTTGATGTCTTGATTGTTTTTCTGTGCCATCTAGGTTCTTTGGGATGACATTGGGGAGACTGATCTTGAAAGAGATAGAATGATACTTCAACTTGAACAAGAATGTCTAATTGTGTATAGAAAGAAAGTAGATCAAGAAAGAAAGCATAAAGCAAATCTTGAACGATCATTGGCCGAGGGTGAAGCTGAAATCTCTAAAATCATCTCTACCTTAGAAGACCTGGAGCACCCCATTCAGGTTTGTTTCCCCTGCCACCTATTACCTCTTGTGAGTCCATGTAACAAGTTCAAAACGTTTCACTGAATTTCTGCCTTTTTTAGGTAGGAAAACAAAAATGCACGCTCAAGGAGCAGTTGTCTAAAATAGATCCATTGTTGGAGGACTTGAGGAGGAGGAGAGACGAAAGGGCTAAGGAATTTTTAGAAGTTCAGTTACAGATTGTTCACATCTGCTCAGAAATATCAGGTGATGTTCATTCAAGTGGTTCTGCGTGCGCGCAAGTTGATGAACGGCATTTGTCATTAAAAAGGCTCGGAGAGTTGCAGAGCCAACTTCTTGAGTTGCAGAAAGAGAAGGTTTCTTTTTTGCATGTACTTTTCATGTTATAAAATTGGGCATTTACATATATACCACAAAATTCTTATGGTTTTACCTATCTAACGCCTAAACTTTGATCTTTTACATTTCAACACTCAAATCTCTCCTATCAAATAAAAATTACCACTATCATTAACTTTTTAAAAGGTGAAATACACCTTTTGATGCGTAGGTAAAGTGGTATTTATATAAGTATCAAAGTTTAGATGTTAAATTTGTAAATACATCAGAATTGTGTGGCGTTTATGTAATTCTTTCTAATAAAATTTGGCTACAGTGAGTCAGTCAGACTTTCTTCTGTTATGTTACAGAATACGAGATTGCAGAAGGTTAATGCTGACATGAAGATGATATATGAGCTGTGTAGCATATTATCTATTGATTACAATAAGATACTCCTTGAAGTTCAACCTAGTCTTGTTGATGCTGCAAATATCCAGCCAAAGAGTATAAGCAACGAGACACTTGCTCGACTGGCAGGAACCATCAATTCACTGAAGCAAGAGAAAACACATAGGTTGCAGAAGGTAAATGCACCATTTTTTTTTCCTAGATGGATAATTTAATCGATTTCATTTGATTATCTTTATAGGTCAAATGTTTATGTAATGTGCTGGGTAGTAAGTATTTACATCACTCATTAATACTTGCAAGCTTTACATGGCACATTCCCATTAAAATTATAATAGGTCTCATCATTGACGCCAGCATCAAAATTTAGAAGTGAACATAATAATCATTGGCATGTAATGTCACATCATCCCATAAATTTTTAGCGTATGTTTACTATTTGGTTTTTTTGATTTTGGCAAATGGGGAGGAACAATATAAATCATTATGTAGGATGTTAATGATGAAGGCTTTACCTCTACTATCATACATCATCAATTCCATCTTACATCAACAGCTGATTATGTGAGATTTAATCAATATTTGCACTAATAGGTTTAAAACATCACACTTTTCATTGGGATTGAAAGGAAATTTAAAATTCATGAAGCCGGTCCCAAGTTTTGGGGTAAAGCTTACGGTGATGTAGATAAGCATGTTTTGTAAGATTTAATACTCATTGTTAGGATACTAATAGAAATTCAAGGGAAAAAGAAAAACAAACAAAAAAGAGGGAATAAATATAGGGATAATGAACACAAGCATGTTAATTTAAGTAGTGCAATAAGATGCACATTTTTTCTCGATCACATAAAGATCAAATAATTCATCAAACTTTAAATATGGGTACATAAAGAGATTAAATTTCACATGATATTGTAGATAATGCTTAATATATCATGTTTTCTATATTGCTAAGTGATAAAACATAGTCATCTACTATGAAGATAAATGTTGTAGGTGGAGAAGATAATGCTATTATTGTTACTCTTTCTTTTTCTTTTGCCATGAGATTCCAAATTAGAGCTATTCCTATCATGCTTCAATGTTTTTTTTCATTATAGAATTAAAAGTAGCAAGTAAAAGGCCTCCCTTTTGCTACCATCTAAATACCACTCCCCTTGTTGACAACATCTAGTCTCTCTCTCTCTCTCTTTTAAATTTGTTTTAATCGTGGAATACCAAAATCTTTATTCTAGAATCTATTTATAATGAAATCAAGGAATGAATTTAGAAAAATGGGTCCTACATAATCCACAAGATATTACATGTTCTTTTAATGTTAATAAAAAATCTCTTAAGATCTTTAAAGCTAATAAATTATTTATTCTACATTCTTTCATTAATATATTGTATCCTACATATTCTAATAGCCCACAATAAATGGATTAGTTAAAGATTTGCCTTTAAAGAAAAGATTTGTACATTTCATGTAAGGATTTCAATGAGGATATTTGGCTCCATAATTCTAAAAATCTCTTGCTTAGAGATGAATTGTTTGATGTGTATGGATAAAATGTGGTTATATAGGTTCTATGAAGTATAAAGAGACCATTTCGGGCTTTTTAGCCCAATCCATTGAATCGAAGTTGGCAAGTTGTCGAGCACAAGCTAGCAAATACAAGCTACTTAGTATGAGTTGTCGAGTATGTGATATCAAAGATGAATCGATGAGTACAAACTGCCTGGTGAATGCTCGTCTCCGAGTCAAGCCAAATGAAGGTTTGTTCGACGACACTGCACCAGGTGACTTCATTACCTCAGATCAGCTCTGTTGGGGGGAAGCCATCTCCCTTTGAGTTTGAACTGGCATTAACGCTAACTTGTACAAGGAGGATGAAAAAACTACAGGGATGCGATTGGACAAAGTGCATATGAAACATAAGGAGAAATGCGACAATGTTAGGGGATTATATGACTGGGATACCAGTAAATACATTGATATGTCAGAACAAGATAAAGAGAACAATTAGAGATCTCTAGAGATCCAAATATAATCATCATTTATGTATAATATATGAGAAAAATCCCCTATATATAGAGGAAGAATTAATGTAATAAGGAAGATCATTGAATAGTCATTTGAGATCCTAGAAGGACAATGTCGCATTTCCCCCTACAATTTCTTCTCGATCTCTTTTTTCTTAATTTATAAAAAAAATGATCTTAAATAATGTAATAATTCATTTTTTTATTGTATAAAAAATGATCTTAATTTATTAGAATTAAATGAAAATATGACACTCAATAGGACACAATGGAGAAAAAAGATTCATGTAGTAGACCCCTCTTAGTGTGAGAAAGGTTTGTTGTTGTTGTTGATCTCTTTTCTTCTCCTTCCCTAGCTCTTCTTTGAGATATTAATCCACAAACAATTTATGATTTAAGGTGATGTACATACTTAGTGGTCTTTTCTTAACACTTTGTGCTATGTTGCCTCCTTTTATTAATCATAAAGGTTAATTATGGTTGCATAAAGTCCAAACTTGTTACAAGAACTAGGTGAAATCCTTAAATATAATAAACATATCTAAATTGTCTGACCAAGCTTCTCTAGTAAGCTAAAACTTGAGTATGATTGATTATTCTTGATTGATTAAATATACTTTTGTGTTTACTATATTCACCTTTGAACCTTCAAAATATTTGAATGTTGTTTTACATTCCTTTCTCATTTGTTGATAGTTTCGATCTTTTTGTAATTGTCCATTTTATTGTGGAGTTATTGGGACTACTCTTCATGCCCTATGTGGATTTTGTATATTTATACTCGTTATGATGATTAAATCGTACGCATTTGATTTCATCTTTAATTTCCATGAAGCTCTTCTACTTTACAAACGTGATAAATACATTAGATTTATTTCTAATAAAATAAAATCATACTTTTTGGTGCAATCATAATGAAGGTAATGTGGTACAAAAGATCCTCTCAAATGTTGAGAATAACTCTCACAAATCTATGTGCATCATCTCCAATTTTTTGATTTAGAGTTATTTCTCGATATGTGAGAATTGACTTGTTTTATTGCTTTTGAAATGGTGAACTCAAAATATCTTAAATTTGAGATTGTACTTATGGAGTAAATAATTTTTTGGCATAAGAAAATGGAGGCAAATAAATGAAGGTCTTATTGTACATAACTAGGAGTAAATAGAGAAGAAATGTAATCTACAATAAGTAGATGGTAATGAAATATATTTAAATTAATCCTTGGGTCGTTATGGAGCTTAGAGAAAGATATACAATTATATTGTTTGTTGAGAGGTTGGCTACTAATTAATTTGGTATTAGAACATTTATTTAAATTAATCCTTGGGTCGTTATGGAGCTTAGAAAAAGATATACAATTATATTGTTTGTTGAGAGGTTGACTACTAATTAATTTGGTATTAGAACATTGATCTTTGATGTATGGTAGAAATAAGGAAGAGATATAAATTTAAGCCAGCTCTTTCTTATTTTTGAGACTTTTCGACATCCAGGAAGAGACTAGTGAAAATGAAGAAGTGGAAGGTCACCAATTAATGTCTAAGATGCAAATAAGTATTGTTATATGCATATTTAAAGAGGATGAAGATGAGGATATGATTATCAATCATAAAAGGAGGAAACCAATCATTGTAGAAGCCAAAGTAAGATTCCCATATATAATGAAATAATTGATATTGAGAATTAGATGCATGGACTGATTGGTTGGAGACTTTACCTTTTATGGGTATATGAGTCATGACATTATTTGCTTTGCTCAACTAAATTTAAGCCATCACATCTTGGCATAATAGACTACCCATTTAAAGGTGAATGACCATCAAGAGATTATTTGGGCGATGTAAAGCGGTTGATATGCTTAAAATTTTACTTGATGGGTTTGTAGAAGATTGGTGGAATAAGTGACTTTATTTGGGGCAAAGCTAAGGACAATCTTTTGCAGAATGCCCAAAAGACTTCCATTACCGAACGATCACATTGGCAATACATCTCGGGAAGAGATAAATATTAATGAAGTATATCTTAGGATTTTATTTTCAAGTTACAAATAAATTTCATGTCCTTGATGACTTGTGTTAACTGAAATAGTATGATAGTGATAACCATAGAGTCAACTACCATAACAAATGTGAGAAGACTTGGGAATCATTTGAAGAGGGGCTTATGTCTTACAAAGAAAGCAAAAGAGGGAAACCAATGATGACACCTCTCACAAACCCACTATCACTAAGAAGCTCGATGGCCATTACTAAATATCTGCAAGAATAATGTAGAATTTTACACCTTGAAGTGTTCTTTGAAAAATGAAAGAAATATGTAAAAGAAAAACAATTGTTATGTTTGTGGCCGACACCGTGTCGTATCTAGTAGATGATTTACACTAGTAATTATCTTTATAAAAAAGGTTGAAGGATAATTAATTGTGTTGTGCTACTATTATAATATTATTGCTTGAGAAGTGTGTTTAATCTTGAGAGGGCTAGCCAAGCAAAATGTGATTATTGTTACTAGTAGTTAGAAGAACAACATTTTTACCATCTATTGTGGTAATTAGTGTTGGATATTGCACCTCATTCTAATCCTTACTCTTTGATTAGGTTCAAATATGGTCAAAGATATATTTTGATTGCCGGTGCTACTTAAAATTTGTAGCTACTAAGAATTACATCAATGGTATCAGTAAGTGAGGTGACTCTGTTTGACATTTGCCAAGCATTTTTTATAGCTCGTATCTTATGATAAATATTTTGTTATGTATTGACAATTTTATTTGTGTCAACTCATAAAGAATGGGTAAACATTTCCACTGTCAAATGATTTCTAGGATGACCAATGTAGTAGTGATAGAGCAAGTATACTTATCAATACAAGTCATCAATTTCTTTTGATGTCGGTTTGCCCTTTTAAAAAAAAAAAAGAAGTCCCACTCTGTATACCTTCGACAAAGAAGGTGACATGAAGATGTAAAAGTAGATTAAATAGCAGGACATATAACTCATCTCTAACACAGTGTTGCCAAATTTATTGATGTATATACTTGCGATCAAGTTTGAGTCTATCAAAGTGAAAGTGATTAAGGACAGTTAAGAATGCATATAGTTCAGCTCCACAATGTTGTATCTTCTTCTATTTAAAAATACCCAAGGAAGAAATTTATCTTTAGAAAAAGAAATGAAGCAAGAGTTAGCAGAATTAGAGAAACTTCTATTACTGAAGAAAGAGCTTGAAAATATACCCTCTTGTCAATTCAAACAAGAAAAGGATAATCCTTTTCAATTTCCAAATTTATGCAATTGCTTGGTTATGAATTTTTTGCGCTATAAAGAAAACAAATAAAATAGAAGAAAACACCCCCTGCCACTACTATATGACAATAATGAAGTATTTTTTATCTCAATCCTAGTCTTGAGAAAATACATAAGTTTCCTTTTTCATTCCTAGTCTCCTTATTAATTTGTTCTTTGAGATGTCATTAACGCACCACGATTCCATTGCTCATCTTTGGTGGATAGTGGCAGTGGATTGAAATCCCATGCGCTCAGAATATTATTCGTTACCATGGCATCCTAGTAGAAGTGAAAGTTGAAAATAAATTTATAGATAAACGCTTTTATAATATAAATTTGTCTCTGCAATTGATGAAAACTAGAAAAAAGGCATTTAAATTGTTAAATGTCATCTGATACAGCAGTTTGTTTTAACCAATCACTGTAATATAATCTCCCTGTTCTACAGCTAAATTAGACAAAATATTGGTTTGTTTTAAGCATATGCTTGCAGCTTCGTTCGGTTTCTATTTCTGAACTTGTCATTTTTATGTTTTCTCTTGTCCATTTTGCTTTGAAGGCAGAATTATATGGATTCTGTAAGATCTCAACTGAATATAAATTTTGAACTCTTTAGCTTTTAATTACATTTTTTTAAACTCCCTTTACACAAGATTTTCCTCTTTTCTTCATAGCTGCAAGGACTTGGGAGTATGTTGATGGAGTTATGGAACCTCCTTGACATTGCCAAGGATGGACAAAATATATATTCCCACATTACTTTGTTGATATCAGCATCTTCTGATGATGTGTTAGGCCATGGTTCCCTTGCATTGGATGTGATTGATCAGGTATTCCTTTTTTTATGATTATAGAACAAAATGGAAATTCTATTTTAGTACTTTAATTACATTGTATATTATATTACATTGAAAATGTCAATTTTCCAAATTATTTTAGGTGGAACATGAAGTAGGGAGATTAAACATCCTTAAGGCCACCAAAATGAAAGAGCTTGTCTTACGGAAGCAAAATGAGCTTGAAGAAATCTATAGGGGAGTCCATATGGACTTTGATAGTGACACAGCAAGACAGAAGATTATCAACATCATCAATTCTGGTTGGGTTGATATATTCGCCCTTTCATATTTTTTTTTTTGGGCAAATGCCACAGTCTTATATAATATATACAAAGCTTAAATGCATTGGTGTTAATGTTTCCTCATCATCTTCTAAGCTTGACACATTATTTTTGAAGATGGCAACTTAGACTTGAGTTATTTATCATCTAACTATAAAGCATGCTCATTCCTTGAGGAAAATAATTTGCTGTTGGGCACCATGTTCTATATGATGATTACCTAAAAACTCTTGTGAATTGTGTCAAACATACTTTTTGGGCGAAAGTATTTCTGGCGCATTCTAGCCATCTTTAGCACATTGTGACAAGTGTTGTGTTAGGAGGGTGAAATATTGGGGGCCAAGTTGAACCTAATATATTAATAAATGGAGGCTGAAATATTGGGGGCCAATTTGAACCTTGTGTATTAATAAATGGATACCCATAGATCCACAAGCTTTAATCATTGGTTTGATGAATGCCCATTCATTAATAGATTGGGCTACACATAGACTTATATTTTAATGCTCTTAATTAATGGCATTCGAGTATATGGTTTGAATTTGTGTTTTATTATTGTGATCAAGTGCTCAATATATTTTGTCTTCCATCAATATTGGTGGGCTTTACAATTGATGAGTAATTTTCAAGAGCGTTGCAGCTCCCACACATGCTCTATATAATTGAGTAGGCCCTTTTTGCCCAACACTTAATGATATTAAGAACTTTCCACGTAAGGAGTGATCATCCATATAGAAGACTTCTATGTGAGGGGTTGACTTAGTCCCACATGCGATATGAAAAAAAATTAAGTTGGACCCTTAGTGTACTAGGACTGACCTTTATACATTATCTTAAACTTTTGGGTTGATGGGCGCCCTTCCACAAATTTATCATTTTCAACTTCGGCCTTCAATGATCCATCTCCTATACTTGTTGGACAAATTCCAATAATAGTAAGTCATTGTAAATTTATTTGTTGCATGTTTAAATCAGGACCATGAAAAAAATGGGAGTTACCTTTTTTTTATTGCACAATTTGAGGCATACCTCAATGTTTTTTTATAAAAAAAAATGCAATGAGGCTTACGCTTCTTTGGGTATCACATAAGGCTTATGTCTCATGTAATGTGAGGTTCGCTTCACATTAGTCTTGGTGAGGCATACAGAATTAGGCCTAGGTTTTCATCAAAATAACTATAAGTAAAATAACCCTAATAAACATTCCTTTACCATATGATGCACAATTAAATATATAATTGAAGCTACTATTATCAACATATTAATTGCTTTAAAATCTAATTAATAATAATTAAATAAAAGGAAGCTGATTGAAATTTAAGATGGGAAATGAGAGAACATGAATATAATCAATAATGAGGTGAGACAAAGTAAGTCATAATGCTCATAATTTTAATGAAAATTTATGATGCGATAAGATTGATGATGATTTTGGACGTTAGAAATTTTAGCATTTGTGGCTCATTATGTTCTTACTTTGATAGATGCAGGTAAGATTATGTGAGGACTAACTATATCAAACTTATTTTGAATTATGTTACTATTATGTACTTTGATATTTGCAATTCTTCTTATTTTTAAATTTGATATTTGGATGTTAATATGTTAAATCTTATTTTGAACAATTTATTAATTTTATCATATGCTAACATGTTACATATTAATCTATTAATATGTTAGGATGTTAATGATGCTTTGAACTTACTATAATATTTCTTGTTTGTGCAATTTTTTGATTTTGAGGCTTATGCCTTGAATACTTTGACGCTTTCATCTCTCAACAGACAAAAAACACATCAATGTCCAATCATGTAATTTTAAAAATTGATTATAATGATGGAAGTAATTTTTTATTTTGTAGTAATATGAAACTATCTACATATTTTATAGTTCCCAACACATGGGTGTATACATTATTTTTAAAGAAATTTTATTTTCCTTTTCATATTGTGGTTGGCATGCGTAAAAGTTTTCAAATTATCAATGAGTTCAAAATTTGTCTTTTCCATGCCATCCACTTTTAAAGTGTAAATGTATTTAAACTTTGCCCCGTTTTGAATGATTCTGTGGTTATGCTAGATTCCAGTGGCTTTTGTAGAGTAGCGGTTGAATTGCTTGATTAATTTGTTCAATAGTGTCTAAAAATCCTTATTGTTTTTTCAGGTAAAGCAGATCTGTCTTTATTGCTGTCTGATATTGATAATCAGATTTCCATAGCTCAAGAGCAAGCTGCACGCAGGAAAGACATTTTGGAGAGGGTGGAAAAATGGATTTTTGCATGCCAAGAGGAAATGTGGCTTGATGAGTATGAAAGGGTAAAATTGGGAAACATTCTATATTTATCTGAGTTTTTCTTTTTAAATTCCTATGTTATACAGAGCTTGATATTATCACTAACACTGCATAACTTTTATTTGTTGCCATTTGGATCTACATTCATTTGCTTTCATGTTATAGACCAATAAAGTCGGTGATTTGCTCAGTTTGGAGCATTAGTACAAGCATGCCCGCACATAAGATGTGTCATTATGTTGCATGCGCCTTTTTTAGTAACCTCAGTTTGGATTCTTTTTTGGTGGGTCGCAGGATAGCCACTCCTTCATTCATTAGCATAAGGAAGCATATCACGTTAATTTTTTTAGGGGATTTGGACTCGCACAACTGTGGTTGAAAATGCATTTCCAATGGTTAAGTATTTTCCACATACAAGAATTTTTGGTGACTTTTCTTATGGAAACAATCTATTTTTCCTATGGTGAAAGTTTGAAGTTGAAGACTGATATGACTGCGTTATAGTAAACTTTGAAAGACTAATTTTATTTTGGGGCTTTTACATACATAGTACCCAAAACTTTCATATTTACATATCTCACACCTAAACTTTCATAGTTAGAAATATCATATGAAAGTAGCACTCATTATCACCTTTTAATAGTCAAATTCATATTTTCATCCATAAGTAAAGTGCTCTGTGTGTAAAAATTAATCTTTAGGTGTGAGATAGGTAAATTCACAAGAATTGGGTGCTATGTATGTAATTTTCCCCTTTTTTTTAAGTTGAATAATTTTAAGAGATGAACAATACTATCGCGGCGACAAGAAGGTATTCATTGAAATTTGTTTTCTTTACAACATTTCATTGCTAAAAAGTTTATTTCAACTTTCAGTAAGTTTTGAAAATATACATCGTCATTTTTTGGGGTGAGTGTTTAGCTTTCTATTGTTGGTGAGTAGCTACACCAGGTTCGTATTTTTAATTTGCTAATGTAACTCGTGCTTTCCAAATCTTTCATATGAATTCTTACATTAATTATTTTTTGTTATTATAATTTGCAAATTATTTTTCCAATATTTGAGGGATCAAAAAAGCAGTGCATAGCTTCTGTCTTTCTCACCCTTTCCCCTCTTGAAAATTTTACTATAGAGATATAATGTCTTATATACGTGACCCTTACGGTTTTCCGTTGTGTCCTTTTTATTGAAGCATCTGTGTTGGTTATTTGTTATTATGATAATTCAAAGAGTTTTTGGCTCCCAATCCTAGGGGTGGTTTGCTTAAGTCCAGAAATTGGATATTTGCAACTATATGACGTCCTAAACTACTAAATATGAGCTATAAATGTGAGAAAATAAATCGGTAACAACTTTTGGTAGAAATCATTAAGAGTTTTTTTTTTAAAGATTTGTTTGGAGAGAGTATTTTTTATCTCTAAGAATGATACAGCACAGATCTTTTACCTCCTTGTATTTTGTTAACTAGTATTTTTTTTTTTAATTTTTTGTTTTTATATTAACAGGATCAAAATCGCTACAGTGCTGGTCGGGGAGCACATATAAACTTGAAGCGTGCAGAGAAAGCTAGGGTACTTGTCAGCAAAATACCATGTAACCTTTCTTTATGAAGTTTATACTTTCGTAATACCTAATAATTTGTTCTATGAAACCATGGTATGTGCTGCTGCACAAGTTTACATAGAACCTTATGATAAAACTGAAACTGTTGCATTCTGAAGGATATTTGTATATTGTATGCAGTGTGCATTGACTTCGTAAATTAGAGTTCTCCTTGCATCGTAGATCTTTTTTATGACTGAAAAATAGGATGATGCCGCTGATCCTTTAATTCTAGAAACTAATAATAGTAATTAGGATCCATATGTAAATACTTGTAAATGGCATCCCTCAAAAACCCACGAACAAAATTTAACCAGAAGAAGCAGCCCATTTTCTACAAATCGGACTTTACCTGTTAAAACATTTTTTTTTCAGATACCTGTTTTGTGAGAATGCCATTAATAGACTTCTAAAATATCTTGAGTTTTCTTAGCTGAGGTGGCTTCTTTTGTTGCCTGGTTTATTTATCTTGATTGGAAAAACTGTCATGAGTATGAAGAGTTTGGTAGTCAGTTGGTTGGCCGCTAATCTGTTTGTTTCCACTCAGTTTTACTTGGACTTAAGGAACTGGCCTGAATATCCGCAGTTCTAAGTTATGAAAGCAAGTTTTGAAGCTGAAATTGCTGGATTAGGACTTTTTAAAATCCAAATCAGTTCTAATCCTTTACGTGAAGAAAGATTATTTATATATCACTGTTTAATTAGTGCTTTTTCATGATATGTGAAATTCTACAATTGTAATAATTATAAGAATTTTGGTACCGGATTCCTTATATACTGTTAGGCTATACAAAGTCGTTTAGCAGCTATGAAAGCGCTTTGTCAGAGTTACAAGCAGTAATAAAGGGCAAGTAATGAATCAGAATAGTGAGAGAAAGAGAGCTTAATAACTTGATTTATGTAATATAAGAAAAATGAAAAGTGGGGAATAAATTTACTACAATATTTCAAGCCTATGATGATTTGCAGCATGGTTAGCTTCATAAATCATTTAGTTTGCATATAATGATTTTGATTCATTATATATCTTAAGCATTTCCCATGCTGAAGTACTTCTGCATTATTAGGGGAGCGCAAAGTAGTGATGCAGATTTGAAAATGCTTGGTCACAATGACATCCCTTTCAATAATGAAGCTAATAGAAGAAAAATGTTATTGTAATTTCATATAATTGGTGGTTGCTTTAAATAGTAATTAATTGAATATATCCATGCTAATTATTAAATGCAGCTCTAGTAGAAGCTCTTAATGCCAAAGTTAAAGCTTGGGAAAGCGAAAACGGAGCACATTTCTTATACAACAAGGTAGAATTTTACCTATCAAGTATTTTTTCATTTTCAATAGACATTCTATCAGGATTGGATTCAACATAGCGCTTTACATTTCAGAAATTGCTTCTAGAAACCTTGGATGAGTATACTATCAGAAGACAGCAAAGAGATGATGAGAGACGCCGATCAAGGGTATGCCTTTAGTAGTTTTTGTCTGTCATTATTGTCATCTCAACCATCTACAAGCATCTTTTTCTTAATTAACTTTATATCTAATTCCTTTATAAGCCATTTCGCATTAGTTTCTTTCCTGAATAAATTTTTTCTGAACTTCAACCATATTTTTCTAGTGATATGTGTAGCTTCATCTAAGGTGTGTTCTTGAAGACATTTACCATGATTGTTTATGTGACAAAAATTGGAGCGACAAGCCCATATCTGGTACACACCCAATAATTTTCCGACTACTGCTGGATTTGAGGAATTGGTGTGCAGAAAATGATAACCTTCCCGTAGTGCTACAGTCAATATAGAGCATTTTTTCAACAAATTATTTTCGAGACCTTCCTTTCCCAAATAAGCAAAGAAAATCTTTTTTCTTTTGGGTTGAAATGAACACAGAATCTATGCTTTTATTTTTCACACTATCTTGGTGTGGTACACCCATTCTTAAACTGTAAGAAACGAACGATGAATCTCTTAAAAACAACTTAATAAATCTTTTATCATGCTATTGATTGATCCATAGGTAGGAATTGGTGGTATTTCTAGTGCACCGTGATTGGTTGCCTTTTATTTGCAGGAGCATAAGAGACTACAGGAGCAGTATGCTACAGAGCAGGAGGTTTTATTTGGCACAAAGCCTAGCCCATTGAGGCAGTTATCAGCTAAGAAACCTCTGGGTCAAACTAATTTAAACCTGCCAGGAGGAACTCCTGTTGGCCGCCGTTTCTCAATGTCGAGACCAGTGGTTTTGTCGAGCGGTAAGGAGAAGAAGGATGGAAACAAGGTTGCTACAGCAATACCATTGAACTATGTTGCTCTTTCAAAGGATTGTTGAGTGCTGAGATGGCCATTTGTATGTTGTATCTTACTCAACCATACAGAAAAGAAATGGAAAAAAAAAACAAAAGATTAAACATTAAAGTTAGAACTCATTTTATCTTACAATGGTATTAAAACTGCATGCGTTCTGATGGGATATGTGTATGGATCAGTTTTTTTTTTTTTCCCTGAATCTTGATAGTAATTCTTTGCAGGACTTCACCTCTGCCACATATTGGTTTGTTGTGAATAATTTCATAGGTAAAATTTGCAACTCTTTTATTTCTGTTGCGGAAGCAACTGATTAATGGTTAATAGTTGTATAGATTTTTTTCCTCTGTTAACATCCATTGTTTAAAAAAAATAAGAAAACTGTTGTATTTAAAAAATACAGAGGATGTGAATGCCAATCAAATGGTAGAAGTTTCGAGTGTTGAATAAGCATTATGTGCGCTCAATTGGGTCTTTTTATTTTTTTTATTTTGAAGGAAATGCAAATTGCAAAGTCGCTATAACAAGACATTTTGTTTTATTGCTTTTCTTATTTAGCTGCTCTACCAAAACATTTTGCACTATTTTGATTGTGTGCTAATTTGGATGTGGCAATATTGCAAGGTTCCTTGATTGAACTCGAACAGGATGTTTCCTTTTCTTAATTAACTGGTCCAGAATCATAAGCGCTCCAGGATAGTTAATGAATCCCTTCTGTTTCTCTATCATTTCCCATCTCGTTGCATATTTTATTTAATGAAGCTTTTAGGGCAGTTCATGTTTCCTGTTGAGGATTAAAGTTTTGAGTGCCATCAGAAAAATTGTCCCACCCATGCATATTTTAGCTAGAGATTTTTTGAACTGGCTTTGGGATCATATGAATTTCATTTTCAACGACTCTAGTTGAGACAATGTGAGTTGATGAAATTGGAGAAGCAGTACCAATATTACTTGAATATGAGGTCATATGTGTTTAAAATTAAGTACTGAGGATTATAATTAAAATTTTATTATTGCCATTTAGTTTGTTAAACATGCTTCAAACTGTGATTATTGATAAAATAAGTTTCTCAACAGTATGAATTTTCTAATGTGATTAATTTATGCTTATTAAGATAATGAGATGTCTAAAAAGTACAAACTAATTAAAGGGAACTTTTTTTTAACTATGCCATCATGCCTAGTAAAGTTCTAGATTGTGGTAAATATCACCAAAACTTTATTTTTATTAGGTTTGGATTCATTGGAAATTTTTTGCTCCAGTCTTGTTTGTTTGTTAACCATTGATGATCGACATCATAAGTATGCCTTGAATAACATATGAGAAGCACACAAATTGTTTTAATAATCATTAGATATAATATTTACGTAAAATTTTATATTTTAGCTTTTCATGCATGAAAAATAATGATACGTAAAAAATTTTCAGCAAATTAATTTTTTTTTAAATAGACTGCACAATTGCATTTGGAGGACGAACCAATTTCCAGTCTACACTCTAATTAGCTAACATTTCATAGGAAGGAAATCACTAATTGTCCACATAAGAGTCAATCCAAGTTGAACGTTCTATTTCGTAGATGCCGTGTCTCGTAATATTTGAAGCTCTTCAATCAAAGGTTGCAAGTAGACATCGATTTTTACCTTTGGGCTATGCAGACCTGGTATGATCAACGTTAGAAATAAGAACGGTGCGATCATACACATATCGATGACAAATTGTACGGTGTAATGATTACTGGTTAGCATGAGTATAAGGTTTTGGTGTGACTGTATAAGATGAAGCCTTCTGCACATAAACCAAGTCTGACATTTTGCATGTCTCAACTGCAAAGTCCAAGTGTGTACAATCAAAATGTTTGCAGGGCTCACAATGTTAGCATCAATAGATCCGGTACTGTCCTAGGTCATGTGAGGAGCTGTACGCATAGAAGCGAACCAACCTCTGAACTCGGGATACGAGGGGAAAATAAAAGAGATATTTGTATGAAATATTTTTCTGATTTTTACCCTTTTCCCCTTTGTTTGAATTTATCAACACCAAAAAATTGCCAGGTCATCTCGACTACATTTGCCATATAATATATCTTGTAACAATTAACACAATAATAAATCTTCTCAGATTGTAACCCTAACTTTGAAACTAACTTTATTTCTTCCTGTACAGGTCATTCGACACTAAATTCTCTATAGGTTTTGTCTCTTTCAATAATGTCACCACTTTATTGAATGCTTTTTTGGGCATGTTAAAATTAGGTTTGATGCTCAACATTTGCAATGCCACTGATAAATTTGGATGTGTAGTGCAACCATCCCATCAAGGTTGCTCTGCAACGTTCAGTAAGCATAAAACTGTTGTAATTCATTGTTTGGTGTTTCACTTTTGTGTGGGATACTCTCAACAATATGAGCTCTGCGAACATCATGAACCATTTCTTTGTATATGTGAGGATCATATTCCTCTGCTGAAGGGACAAAACTTGTTGAGGCACCAATGTAATCGTATTAAACTTCTGCTTCTTGCTCCCCATGTGCCGTCATGTACCAATAATTTGGTTTGAATGCGTTGCGATAAAGATCCAAATTAGCTTCTTCGAGTCACAGATACACTTGATTTTTTTGCTTCGCATAAGGACACCATAACTTACCCTTTGAATGATAAATGGGTTGTTGTGATTTCGCTAGTACGAATTTCTCAACACCATTCAAGAACTCACCTGTAAGTTTTTTTCGTCATGGATATAATCTATTATACATTCAAGCTTTCAAATTACGAACATACATCTGCAACATAGACGTAGCTTTACAAATTAGTGCAACTATTATTAAAAAAAAAATCTAGTCTATATTGATCAATATTTGAAGTAGACATTACTTGGTCAAGTAGATCCCAGGATCTCCAAAGGTTCATTAGTTGATCAATATTTAATATGATCAAACCATGTCTAAGACATTTCTATCTAATCTTGTCCCCACTCGATCTATGACAACCCTATAACGTATATATCCATTTATCATTTTGTCTCTAAGTGTCAAGACATTCATGCATCTACCTAAGCATTCTCATCTCAACAACAATTATCTTTTTTTATGATTCTCTTTTAAGGGCCAACATGCTACGCCATAGAACACTAAAGGTCTTAGCACCAACAAAAAAAAATTATCTTTTTTATCACACAATATTTTTATCACACAATAAAACACAATAAACCTGATGCATTCCTCCATTTCAACCAACCAACTTGAATTCTACTAATAAAATCATCATATGTATCACCGTTACTTTGAACAATAACCCGATGCAGTCAAAGTGAATTGTACAAATTATAACATTCTTATATATATCGCCATCCCTTTGAACAATAGACCGGATGCATTCTTCCACTTCAATCAGTCAACGTGAATTCTACAAATAACATCCCCATCTATATCATCACCACTTTGAACAATAGAACCGATCAATGCATTACTACTCCACTACTTCAACAAACAAACGTGAATTCTACTAATAACATTCCCATCAATATATATCAACGCACATCAAACAATAGATCCATTGCATTACTCTACTTCAACCAACCAACTTGAATTCTACCAATAACATCCCCATCTAGATTGATTCTCCTCTATACATACCACTCAATACTTATGTATATACATAGTTAACACCTAAACTTCAATGCAAAGGGAGATTTGCATACCTACAACTGAAATCTTTTGCATATATATTCCTAACATCTAAACTTCAAATTCTACATAAATTCCAAAATTAAAAAAAGTGAAAAATGGAGCAAAGAACACAACGATAGCGCTTCAATGTTGCAAGTGAAAAAATTTTCTATCCGGACTCCAGAAGTAGCTTTGCGTGCGGACTATCAATAATATACCGCCATGTGTGCTATATCGAGCCCACCTAAAAACAATATTAAAGTGGAACTGCAGACTCCACAATAGCCTCAAAATAACCACCGCGGTTCCACTTCAATAACCCCAAAATAACACGGCAAATGTTATTTCGGGGTTATTTCTGGATTTTTTCGGGGTTATTGAAGTGGAAGATATGAGTTTCTCTTCAATAATCCCAAAATGACCTTTGTGGTTCCACTTCTATAACCCCGAAATAACCTTTCGATGTAGCACACGTGTTGACATATTATTGAAGTCCACACATAGAGCTACGTCCGGAGTCCGGACGGACATAAAATTTTTCCATTGCAAGGAGGAGAGGACCTGCAAGCGTTTTCGGGGCGCGCAAGGAAAAAAATGAAACGGAGGGCACGATATCGGTTTTTTAGGTCTATTGCGTCGGAGTTTTCGTCTACATTGAATCGAATTTGTTCGACGCTTTTAAGTAAATATTTTGCGTTGATTTATTTGATGCAAATCCAATTCCATGCAATTCCCCTATAAATTTCATCGTCATGAAATAGACTATTGCGTCGAATAAACAAAGGCTAATTCAACATAAATTCCACCATAAATAACGTCAACTACCTTATGTCGCGTAGCAACTTCAAAATCCGATGCAAATAAATGCATGAAAAAATTCCGACACAAATAGTGACTCTATTTTTAACTTCTCCTGTAGTGTCCAAACTTATGCACACTCATCTAAAAAGTTTTCATTTTTTATATTTATTTTTTGAAATTATGTACTTCACGTATAGGATAAAGATAATATTGATCTCAAATTCAATTATTATTTTCTAATATATTTATTTTTATAATTTTTTTTTTATGAAAATTTAATTCTTTTCAAACTTAATACAAATTTAATACGTTGAACCTCTCCTATAAAAGTACTACTTTTATGTGTAATTTAAAAAACCCTTTCTAGAGTTAAAAAAAAAAAACATTTAATTTAAACACTTGCACATCATAAAATAAATTAATAATTTAACTTACCGCTATAACATTCATGTATAGGATGCTACATTTGCATACTTGATGCATGTCTACATTATCTTAGCACCATTTAAAATTTTGACCACCATTATTTTTATTAGGTAGATTTACATACTTACCACTCAATTCCTATGTATTATCATATCTAGCACTAAAGCTTTAATTAAACACATGTCATCATATCTATGCATTAAAATGTGTATACATTTTAAAACTTAAAATAGTATTTTTTTGGGCTTGATATGAAAGATTTAGAAAATGTAAGAGTTAAAAGTACAAGTGCCCGTGTTAAATATGTAAATATCTGAGAATTGAGCGGTATGAATATA